AGTGAAGGAAAACCCAGGGATCTTAGGGGCTGAAAATGTGCCAGCCTCTGCTTTTGTCTCTCAGAAGCACTGGGCCTCTCCAATTGTTTGGCTTTCTCATATCCTGACACTATCCCATACCCCACTGAGGGGGATGCAAGGCCCCTTTTTGATGGCTTGGACAGTAATCATCATCCTTTTACCCCACCTCTACCACTGGCCTCAGTGCAGCTCCTCCTGATTTACACCCCTGCCCATAACAGCCCTCTGTCCCCTACTGCCATTATGACCTGAGCACCCATATAACAGCTCTTCCTAGCCAGACACTGTACCTGGGTTACAGGCATCTCAGGAGGGATTCTTTATAGAACATCACTTAAACTGGTTTTATTTATTTTTAACAACGTGCTTCATTCTGCTACCTCCATCCTTTCGTTCTCTGACAAAAGTTAAATGTCAGGTCTAACACTAGCTGAATGCCCCTTTAAAAAGTTTGATTTCAATCTCGAGATATATCAGTAGTAAGAAAGCTTCCTGGTGTTAATTTTAAAGCACTGGTATTTCATGCTGACTTGGGAAATCATCCTTGGGTTTTGGCATCGGGCAGAGGATTTGGAAAGTGACATTAAAGGATCTACTTTCTTTGAAGGACTAGGGAGTCATTTCTTGACTTCTGCCTAATGAATAAGTGCTGCCTTCGTTAAATTTATATTTATGGCCATATAGTAGGTCATTGGCTTGTTTTATGTCTCCAGGTTTATGGAAGGTTATCTTGCCATGGTCACCTTGTGGCATCTTGGCCAGAATCGTCTTGCAAAGAGACAATTGTGTCTGAGCAGGATTTTTCCCATGGAGATATGGAAATGATCAAATTAATATAAAGATGATGTCCAGGGATAAAGCTCTTGCCCTGAGCTGCCAAATGAAGTTACTATTAGCATCTGTTTTCACAGTACACCTTTAGTTTGCCCTGGCAAGACCAGATCCTTAGCTTCTGCAAAGCAGCAAGGCTACATTAACTTCGGCAGGGCTGATGTGATTGACAGCTGTCCTTTGGCCTCTCAGCAGCCTTTCTCCTTCTTTCACTTCACCAGCTGATCCTCAGTGCACATTTTACATCATGTTTAATCTCTTAAATGTCTGTATGTTGGACATAAGATCTCCATGAGTCTGACCACAAGGAAAGCTATTTCAAATGTCAACCTATAGGCATATTTGCACAGATTGCCACCAGCATATCCATGGTCTTTTGATGATGGTAAAACTAGATACATGTTAGTTCTGGTCCAAAAACCCATTTAATGTGCTTTACGATATCCATGTCCCTCATCTGGTGTCTTCTGTATCCCTATAGATGGTACAAGCCCGTACTCAGCTATTTACATCTGGGTCACAGTGGGCTTACACCCTGGCACAGACAGCATGCAGAGGAGCTGGGGTCTGTTCCCAGCCCCACATGCCCGTGTTCAACTAATACTTGCAATACAGAGAAGACTGGCCAGCTGGATGGGGAGGAAGGGTAGCTGACGAAGGGTAACTCCTACCTTATCAAAGCATGAGCTGTGTGAAGGCCACAGGGGTGCAAACCCTATTAGGTTATACATATCATATGGAGGAATAAAGCCACCTTCCCTCATCATGTCCTTGTGTGGAAACACAGAAATGATTCATGTCTCCCCATCACTTTGAATTTTAGCACATGGTCTGCTCCATCCTGCATAATCCCTGGGGCAGTTTGGCTCTGGATCATGAGTCCCTCATACATCTTGTCCCTTGCTGAACTTCTTATGGGTCATTAGTATGTAGGAGGACTGTCACTTTGCTGAACACAGCATGGCCACGACTTCCTCAAACCTTTAATCTGTGTCTTGAGATTTCTGGATCAATACCAGCCGTTGGCTTCATCCACACTACAGCTGGGAGTGCAGGCAGTTATGCCCTTCGCTAGGTTTAATTCATCTGGCAGAGTGAGCAGCAACATGAAGATATGCTCATGGCTGCCCAAGCTACCTTGGCTTCGTGCCGGGGTACCCAGCTGGCCCTGAAGTCTGTGTCCCTGCACCTTCACAGGCCGTGTTGGTCAGCATGGGCACATCTACTGTACTGAAACCACATCTTCACTGGCTGAGTAAATGCACTCCTCAAGCTAAGGAAGGCAAGTTCTTCAGGGAGAAAAGGTCATCACTTCTGTTTTTAAGAGCTGCCAAGTTAAATTCCTGCAGGTGGTGACTCACCACAACTGCTGTTCCCAAACAGCCAAGGTAGGGTATGAGACTACAAGTAAAACACAGAGGATTGCTGCTCCCTGTGCTGTCTTTTCCTACAGCTCTGGAATGCTTTCTATTTGCTCCTTTTCAAAAGCACCCAGGAATGATTGTGTCAGTGCTAGGGTCTTGTGCTTTAGATCAGTCACCTTGACGTTCTTCACCTACGACTAAGTGATTCCCAGCTTGGAACAAAGCTGGTTAAAGCCAGGGAAAAGTCTTCCTGCTATCATGCATGTACTGTGAGCTGGAAGAAATTTCCTGTGTTATCTAGGATACAAGGCAGCTTCCTGAGAAAGAAACATCCAGTTAGATACTACCCTTGCTGACAAGTTCCTAAGACGCAGGAAAATAATGAAATCTAAAAGCTTAGTGTGGGAGAGGAAGAAGGCTGCATTTAAAGGCTTGCTGTCCCAAACCCTTTAAATAAAGCATTTGTCCAGTTTTAATATTTAATTTTAAAGGTGATTTTGAGTGTATATTTCCTAGCCAGAACGGCTTAGTTATGATGGGCAGAGTATAGCTCCAAAGGCAGGTGAGATACATAGATGGGGTAAGGCAAGGAGCTAGGTCATGAGCCCAGCAGCCCTATTAAGGACGTACACTCAGCTATGGCTGAGAGAGTGAACAGTTCCCACATGTTCCCCGCTAAGGCAGGGAACAAGGGAAAGGACCACAGTCTGACAGGTACTGCTCAGTGACTATCCATATCAACAGAGCCAATCTTCGTTAATCATCAGCATAGCAGGCAGAGAATGAGCATGCTTGATCCAGCCGCAGCTGGAGAGGAAAGAAATGCTGTGAGTGTATCTCCCAAGCAGCAGAGACAGCTTCTTCTCCTAGCTCTATACATTACTGAGTGCAACCAAGGAAAGGCAGTTGCTTTCAGGGCAGATACAGCAGATCATCTCCTTTACTGCATTCTGAAATACATAGTCTTGAAAAGACTTGTCCCTTTACCTCATATCCTCACCTTCCTCAGGAGATATCTTCTACCTGACAGGACTTGGTCACGTTGGGGTTTCAAGATATTACAATCCATTCTCCCAAAAGGGTGCAAGAACTGGTGCATCACTTAACCTTTCATAGCCATTCAGTTTTCTTCTGGAGCAATATGCTTTGTTTTAGAGGAAAACAATTTTGAGAAGAGATTTAAAAGAACAGGATTTAGTTGTTTCAAGATTACAGGAATAAGTGGAAATGGTTTTTACATTTTCTAAGCATTTCCTCCAGTTTCATGGAATATCTACTCTTTAAAGGTATAGCTTTGCATTTCTACTATGCCTTCCACTGATGTCCTACAGGCTCCCCAATATTGCAGTCCCACCTATTTCTTCCTGTGACTTCCCCATCCTCAAAGACCTTATGATTCAGTTATGCCCTAACGAGCAGGAGCCTCTGAGCCTTAGCCAGCAATTAGGTTTTCCCCCTCAAAGTTTGGTCTTCCCAAGATTCCTCATATTTCAGAAGAAAAGTGCAGGATCTTACAAGCTTCCATCATGATTGATGGGGGTCTTTGAAAATGAGCTTTGCACTGGCATTTACATCTGTAAGAAAGAACTTTATCCATGTTCCCTCTGTCCTGTAATATTCATGGGCCAACCTCCCCACATTTCTGCATACAGCCAGTGTCTCTCCTTGGATAGATAAATGCACCAGATTCCCTTCCAAGATTCCCACACCTTTGCACCTTCCAAGCCCTTCCCTCCAGCCACATCTCTGTGCCAGTAGGAAGGAAAAAAGTGGGGTGAAGGATGGAAAATAGCAACTCCCTAAGGGATTATCCTCCAAGTAAGAAGCTGGAGGGAACACATAAATGTAGAACTGTGCAGCACCAATAAATACAAATTAAACTCATAACAAGAAGTGAAATATTAGGGCCAAGGTGACATTTGGACTGGAGGTTCAGCCAAGCTTTGCTTTAAATTTTTTATTGCTGTAGATAAAGAAAGAGCTCATACAACACCTTTCTCTCTTTCTTTCCCTATCAACCAAAGGGGAAAAGGAAAACAAAAATCTTAACTAGCTTTGGTTGTATTTGAGGTAGACTTCAAAGTTTCTCAAAAATAAACAGTTTTTAAGGGGAAGGAATGCACACTTGTAAAGAGAGAAAATGCACTTTGAAGCCAGCAAGGGACTGCATGCCTTATGCAGCGATGCACAGCATCCTCCCTGGAGCAGACAAGTGGCATCCTCCTCCCCTCCAAGCAGCATTTCCTTTGTCATGGGGGGCTGCCTGGCAGTAACACAATCCTTCGAAGGGATGTTAGGATGGCAGGAGCCACTGCTTTGTTCTCTTCTCTCTCCTCCTGCTATGCCCCTCTTGTTTTGTGCTCTGACTGAAAGTTCCATGTGACTGTAGCTGTCACTGAGATCTGAGTTTGCACAGCACCTAGCGCAGCGTCAGTCCTGGCTTAAGATGAGGGCTCTTTGGGGTTCATTACTGCCATGCCAAAAATGCACATGATCAGAGGTGGGCTCCATAATTTAAGCTTGGGAAAGGAGGGAGAGGTTTGTGTGTCTGTGTCCTCTGCTCCAAATGTCACAGGGTGGTTGGTGGCTGGGTGACAGAGCCCTGCTGGATATGATGGGGAGGCTCTGTGTTGTCCTGTCCTTCGAGTGTGTGAGCTGCTCCCATTCTGGGACCTTCAGCCCCCTGTCTGTCTGTCTCACATCACATACTGATAGGGAGGGGAAAAGGAGAGTGCCTGTCATGTTTTAACCCCTTGATTCCTTCTCTTTCTTGTGTCTCCACAGCACAAAGCCCCACTGCAGCAGACCCCTTGCAGCAAGCCTACGCTGGAGTGCAGCAGTACGCAGGTCGTTAGTATTAACACTTTCTCTCAATAAACTTTTCTCTTTTGTAAAGCCTTTAATCTCTGAACACACCCGAGGAGCCTGGGGAAAGGGAGGTGTTTGGTGATAGGGGCAAGCTGGGGGCCACAGTCTGTCAGGTTAAATTTGCACTTCTTGTGAAAATATATAGCCCCTTGCCTTCTCTCCCAGTGGGGTCAACCTCCTCCTTTCCCTCAGGGAATGTTTTCCATTGACCTGTATCTTGGTGCAGCTTCATTGGCAGGACCAGGTCCGGTCTGCTTAGAGCAGTGCTCAAGTGCCAAGTCAGCCCACTGGTCTGGAGGCCACTTTCTGTAACAGGTCTCCTTGGTACTGAAGTGAGGAGGTGAGATGGGCAGCCGGACCCTGCAAACCCACTGCTGCTGTGCCTGGCAGGGTATGGTATCTCCACATACAACCATGTTTCAGGGTGCGTCTACATTAGTCATACCCCAGCTATGTAGTTTGAGGCTTACTTAAGAGCTATGCAGACATATGTCTGGCTTCTCAGCAGCTTTCTCAACAGCTCACAGTAAGTCAGCCTCCACTCGCATCGCCCTGTCTGCTGAGCAGCTCCTTTGCAGTTGATGGACTGACACCAGCCAAAGTGACCTGGTGCAGACCATGACCCCACTGTGTTCAGCCTTCCCTCACGAGGTGTCCATGGCCAGCGTTGCAAGGAAGCTGCCACCCCAAAGTCATTATTTCCTGTGGTAACTGGAGCAATTGTGGTCTCCCACTGAGGAATGGCTATTATCTCATGTCAGCACTGTATCTGGAAACTTAATTTAATTCTTCATGTAGGGCTTCATTTGCCAGTGTTTTAGTTATTGTCATTTATTGCTTGTGAGGTTTGATAGATGGGAAGCAGCTCAACCCTTTGAGCTGTTAATTAACCCCTCTGCACACACATGGCCCCTATCCCCCTCTCTCTGGGCTCACAGGTGACCTGTACTTTGTATTTTTAGCAGCAAGGCACATCATCTACCATCTGTGGTAGTGAATGGCTCCCCTTGTCTTCTTGGTGGGGGAGCTGAGATGGGGAAAACTGTTTAATTGCTGCACACTGTTTCCACTGTGTTTGTGTTGGAGAGAGGAAGTCTGTATGGACGTGAAAGAAAATGTACGTCTGAGAGCATATGTGCAACTGTGCTTATACGGTGTGGGTATATGGAGGTTCGAGTAAAGGAGGAAACACACGTGTGAACTCTTTTTATAAGCATATGAACTAACCAGGGTGCGAGAGAGATTAGACAGAGAAAAGTGTGCATGCACTCTGCGTGGCTGTCAGCATGGGCATCTACACACTGAGCTCATGAATGAATGTGTTTGTGGTACCATCTGGGATGCTTACACATCTCTGCTGGGAAAGAACTCAGCAGAGACCCCCATTTACATGGTATGATTGTCCCCAGTGTTATTGCTGATGAAACTGAAGGGAGGGTGGGTGCTCAGGGCCATGTGGCACCTCCTGGAGCACAGCCATAGTTCTTCTGCCATATCTCAGGCTGCCCTCCATAGAGAAAAAATGCAGGGGAAAGCCCACTTCTAGCTCGGTATGTTGGTTTCAAAGCCATCATACACTCCTCGAAATGAAAAATGAAACCTCCTTGCTTCCCAGCACTGAAATCTGTTCCTCTTTCTTCTCTCCCTTTCTCTCCCCTGTAGCTGCTTATCCTGCTGCTTATGGCCAGATTAGCCAAGCCTTCCCACAGCCACCTCCCATGATCCCACAGCAACAGAGAGAAGGTGAGTAAACAGGCTGTCCTCCTTTCTGTCCCCAACACACCATCCTCACCACATTGTTTCTGCTCCTCATACACCTAGAGAAGTATCCATTAAACACCCAATTTCTTTGAATCCTTGGCCCACTGACTCCTTTCCCTGTTTCCATATATGACACAGCACCATTGTCACTAACAGTAGTATGCAGGAACATCCTCATGGGCAATTGTGGCTGAGATGTCCTCAGTCCTCCAGAAGGGGAGCATGCTGATGTGCATGGGCCGTGGAAAGACCTGCTAGCAGCATAGGCAGTAATGTCCAGTGGTGGTCTGTGTTCAAGAGAAGTGACAAGAATGTGGATAAAAAAAGCAATTTTGTTGGAATAAAGAATTTAATAAGGAACAGAGCACTGGTGGCCTTTTATTGGAAGCCAGTAACGTGATTTCAGACACCTGCTGTTTAGAGAACAAGGGTCTGCTATTTAGAGGAGCTGATGTGGTCCTTTCAGCACCCTTTGATAATCTGGAAACACCAATCAGCCCTTTTAGAGCAAAATCTCTACATCAGGAGGAAATGAATCATGTAGTGAAAGTACCTATTTCTTTACATTGACTATAAAAAGATCTGGGTTATCTAGGCCGCAGGACTGGATGGCTTCACTGGAGACATGAATTGTAAGGAGACGTGAATCTCCCACTACTGCATATAAATACTTTTGGGGGCAACCATGACATGTGATGTTCCCTTTACAGGCAGTGGGGAGCAGTGGGATCCTCAGAGGCAACCCGCTCAGGTGGTCCCAGTCATCCTCCAGAGAATCACTGCTCCCTTTGGACAAGAGGACCCTGCTTGCCTAAGTGAGGCATTTAAGTCAGGTGCTTCAGTTTAGAGACCCTCATTTTAAATAATTACATTTTAACTTTTACCCCCTAGTAGATCTCTAATTCGGATATACTCTATGATACATGTGTTATTACATATATATAATGACATCTAATATTTTAATGTAGTGTAACAGTAAGAATGAAATGAATCAGGATTACACCATCAAACTAAAATATTCTGGTGGACTAGAACTACTTTGGGGGAAAAAATCTCATTTTGTGAGAAAATTAGAAATGTCAGCATTTCGATCTAATTTGGAATTAATTTCTTTTCGATGTCAGAATTTCCTGGGGAACACAACTTCCAGCTCCTGATTAGCTCTAGTACATGTCCCTGCTGTGAGAACAGATGCACAGACCTAACGTATCATTACAGAGATGTTTCCCCCATGCTGAAGGACTTTGCTTTTTATTACTTACTGGGGTTAGATTAAGCACAGGACAAAATGGTGAGCAGATCATTGCTCAGCACAGCATTGCACCAGGAACCGTCAGAAGCAAAGGAGTGCTGTGAACACTTTGAAGACCCACTTCCCAAAGCCCCCTGTGTTCCAATGCATGGTGTGCTGCTGTGGGTTGACGGTGAGTGTCACCCAGTGGACAAGATGTCTCATAACTCCTCACTTCTTCCTGTAAGCAGCTGATACCGAGGATGGTTGGGGACCAGACATAGGAGATGAACCACCAGTCCGATACGGGTCACAATTCCCAGTGTTCTCCATTTTCCTGCAGTGTTCTCCATTTTCCTGGTTGTTCAAGGGAGAATCTCTAAGGCACGACACTCCTTTTTAGCAGAGATTTTTAAGCATCTCTAACCCTTAACAGGAAAACACAGCAAGAGGGAACTCTAATAATAATAATGCTCAGTGCTGAGAAGAGTACTTTATGTTTGCAAGGATGTGCACAAACATTGATTCGTTAATGAACCAGCCCTACCACAACAATAACATCGATGATCACATTGTTAATAACAATGCTAATTCTCCGCTCCCAGATCCCTGTTGGATAACAAGCCCGGAGCCACTTGGCTGCTGCAACATTCCTATAGAGACTCGTCATTACTTCCATAGAAGCACTGAGGCTGCCAGCAGCTGACGGGGCACATAGGGTGGAACAGATTCAGAATGATCAAAGCCATAGAGATGAAGTCTTGATTCAGGCCACATCAACCAGGCAAAACTTGGGACTAATTTTAAATTTGAATGGTATTATTCATCTTGACATAGCTTCTAAAACTATAAGTACACTTAGATACTAAAATAAAGTGTTGCAGGCTTGTGACTCCCGTATGCTCTGTGCTCAAACATGCTGGGACTGAACAGCAAGCAGATGCAGAACAGGCAATGAAATTCCAGCGTCTGAGTATTTGTTGTAGAGGTGAGGTGTGCAGCTGACCAAAGGACTACAGACTGACTTCATGCAACCTTATGGGACAACCCATTTTTTATTACTGTTGGGAGACTAGTCATAATCTTTCCTTGGTCTTGAGGATGCAGTAATAGATAGCTGATGTTAGCACAGGTATGCGTATGAAGTTTACTCATGTCGACAGTGGACATGCAGGGATAGGTTGGATTTGTGGCTGTCCACCATATACCCCCCACAAACTAACAATGAGCATGAAGAACATGGCCAGTATGGTCTGCCTGTAATTTACAGACTATACATAAACTGTGTATTCCTTAAACCTTTTCTTTCATTTTTGTCTGAATCAGGTCTACCTGTGCTTCTTGTGTATTAATGAACAGAAATATCTATAAGTTACAGCCATAAAAATAAGAGCTGTTGCAGGTGTCAGAGTAGAAATGGACCTTGATACTCTTCTCATGATGTGTCATGAGGGTTAGATTTAGAGCTGACTTACATCCCTTCTGAAAACCAAAGTACATGTAAATAATTTTAGTACTGTATTCAGCACTGAATTGCCAAGTATTCCAATCTCTGATAAGTACAGAAGCATTATAGAATGGTTTGGGTTGGAAGGGACCTCAAGGATCATCTGCTTCCAACCCACATGCCATGAACAGAGACACCTTTCACTAGACGAGGCTGCTCAAAGCCCCATCCAACCTGGCCTTGAACTCAGCATACCTTTCTCTCCATCAAGATAGTTGGACTCTGTCACTGAGGTTTTGCCACACCAGCTGTGATCTTCCTCTTGCCTCAGTGACCCTAACAGAGTCCTTTAAAGCTCATTGCATATATATGCTGAGAGCTAAGTTAGGTCTTCATAGCATTCTGAAATGAACAACTCATGCCTTTAAATTCTTAAAAATATATATGAAGAGTTTGTCATACATATAAGCATATAGTCTTCCACAGAGTGCCCAGGTTAACTTGACTTAGTAAAAAAAAAACAAAACACAAGGTAGAAGAGCTGAGGCAGACAGATCTTGTTCTGTGCATTCTTTATCAAAGAGTCTAACTGTGATAGGTAAGTTATGGATGAATAGATTTAACGAGAAATTGCCTGTTAAATTCTAATGGCAGAATTTTCATATGTGAGGACGGTAAAACAAACCAAAGTACCCCATATTGTTTCTTAGTAGCAGATGGAGTCTTCAGCATTGGAAATCACTGAAAACCCTCTGTAGCTGGGAACAGAGCAAGTCTGGCCTTGAATGTCTGAGTTGATATGGGAAGCAGCAGTATGGCTTTCCCAGACACATTTCAGAGCTGAACTGGGCTTTGAGGGTGGTCTCTGCCTTTCCACATCTTCCCTGGTCTCTTCCTCTCGGTCTCCAAGGAGCGCGAAACAAAGCTGATTTCAAGGTGAACTAAGGGTTGTTCTCTCCTTGGGACCGATCTTTAAACCTGGTGTAGATGAAATTGTGTGCCTCCTGGTCTGCCTTATGCCTTAGTAGGTGGTTCTCAGCACACGCAGGCAGAATCCCTACTCATCACAACCCATCCAAGACCCCAGGAAATGCAGCTGGTATTTTTGAAAGAATTTGCCAGTTTTACAGAGCAAACTGCTGGCTCTGGTGATGTCGGTGGGAATTTTGCCACTAATTACAACAAAGCCAAGATTTTACCCATTCTATTATAATGTGCATCTCAAATCCCACAGCAGAAGTGCTCTGGGGCGTGTTCAGATGAAGGAATGATTTTTTGCCTGCTATTCTGGCCTGTGGTCTTCTCCTGGGCAGAATTTTGTCAACTCTAACAGACACCTAAGGGGGTCGGTGTTTGTTTAACACTTTCAGACTGTTTCAGATCTAGTTTACCATGCCAATAACTCCACATTTTGTGGAAATAAACTGCAGCAAGGACTGGAGAAGGGATAGTTGCTCTGTGAGGAGGCTAAAGAAGAGGCGGACAGGAGGAGGAGGAGGATGGAAAAACTTGGCATGAAATAGGGGAGCCTGATTGTGGGCCACTGAGGTTCAAATGTAATTTAGCTAAGCAGATGACCGGGTGCCTAATTAGTTAATTATCCCACTATCCCCCCCATTTGGAAGAAACCCTGTTACCATCCTCACGACCTCTAGGAAATGCACAAGATGCAAAGGATCAGCTGTTCCTTCGTGACAGTCCTTTTAGCAAATTAGTGGGGAAAATTGTGCTTAGCAAATATTCATTAGGGCTTCATTTTCCATTAATCCAAAAGGAAATGTGGAAAGCCTGTGACTTCAATCACGCTGAGGCCCAGGAATTTTAATGAGCTTTAAATGGGCATCTGCCAGAATCCTGACTTCGCTGTACTTCTCCTGCCAGCCGGGGGGGATGAGTAATGGCTAATAAAAGGTGGGAGCATCTAGGCGAACTCCTCTCCCTAACAGGAAAAGCAAAGTTGTAATTTGCTGTGTTATGACACTGTAATTGTGCCCTGATGAAGAAAACAACAGTATTAAAAAACCTTTTCCTTCCCCACACTGTGTCCCAGAGGTAAATGGGGGAAAGCTGGATGAGTCAGGTCACAGGGTTGTAGGCACAAGGGCTGGGGTAAGGAGGAAATCCTCCTTCCCTCTGTCCTATCATCTTTGCATCAATGAGCACATACCTTATTCCCTTCATCTTAACCCCCTGAGCAAAGCAGAGATGAAGTTGCCTGTTTAGGTCAGCGCGGAGCTGGGCAGCAGCTGGAAGTACCACTGAAAATAAGACCATGAAAGAAACCAATCCTTGCCTCCTCAAACTATACAGTTTTCTGCTAGTGGACACTGCAAGGGGTTTAAATGTTTATTTTTGTCAACAAAACCACTTGGACACTCCCATTCCTTTTGACTTTTCCCCAAGTACAACTTGCTTAAAAATAAAAGTCCCACTGAAAAGCTTCATCCTTGGTTATTTGACCAGAGGCACGTTTTCCCTTTTTTTGCCCCAAAATACAATTTCCACCAAATATTTTCTGAAGGTCTATGTTTTAACATAACTGAATATTCCAGCTAAAGAGTCCTCTCAGGATATTTTTCCATGAACGCTCTGAAGTCTGTAAGAGTAAATGTGATAGCATTGAGGCAAAAAAGGCAAGTCCTCTTGTCCAGTAATTAAGATTTGTGATGTCTTTGAGACCCTCTAGAATGGGAGACATGCTCAAACTGTGCAGATTTGGTGAGTCTTCAGGTTTGGTCAAGCTGGGGGGTTGAATGTAAAATTCTACAGAACAAAATAAGCCTGTGGGTTTGTGCATATCTGTCTACTTGTTTACACAGTTCTTACACAGATACAAGAAAGATAATGAAAGTTCTGCATGCAGACACTGAGAAGAGGCAAAGGTTAGTGTGGGTCACCCAAAACTGTATGGGTTAAATGAGATTGTGAGGAGCAAAAAAAAACTATTTATGGCATTTTTGAATTCTTTTAGCTCTTGCTCCTCCATTCTGTCTTTCCATGGCCACATGCGCTGCTGCATTCCTCTGTCTCTGGGTTTTATCCTGGTGTCTGTCCTGGGAAGGTTAATGAAGTTAGCATAGCCTCTGGGTGACTTTCTGAGCTGCTGGTCTTCTGCTTTGTCCATTCTTCTGGGAGCCTACACACTGCTTCCTAGAGGTGACCCTTTATCCATCAGAGAGAGGGGATGACAACATAAATCACCATGTACTTTTTCATATCCTGTTTCTCTTCATTCATGTGTCTTCTTTTTCTCTTGACAGGACCAGAGGGCTGTAACCTGTTTATCTACCATCTGCCCCAGGAGTTTGGGGATGCTGAGCTGATGCAGATGTTCCTGCCTTTCGGTAATGTCATCTCCTCGAAAGTGTTTGTGGATCGGGCGACAAACCAAAGTAAATGCTTTGGTGGGTAAAGATAACAAAACAATTAGATTCATCCAGGAAGGGGCTTTCTCTAAATACTTTACCTTTCAAACTGCTTTCTTTCTGCTTAAGCTTTATGATTTCTCTCAATTTACTCCTGTCAATACTTTCCCCCTTCCCTCTTTCTCTCCTAATTGTCTCATGCTCAGAGTTGTATGCACTGCTTAGAAGTGAAGGATTGGCATCTCACCAGCAGCAAGGTGTTGAGGCTGGTGGTGGTGTGGTGGAAAATGTACCCCCTTGGAAGGGGAGGTGGGGAGGTTGTAGAAAAGACTAAAGTGTATGGAGCAAAATGGAGGGGGATGGAGGGGTAAGTGAAGTGCTGACAGGGCCAGCAGTGGGAGCATGTGGCAGAAGAGGAATTTCTTTACCTAAGCAAAATGAAAAACAGGCCATGGGGTTGAAGGGAATACAGAGCTGTGATTGCAGCTTCCATTAGACAGCAAGGGGACAAGGGCTGAACATCAGCTGAAAGCCTAGTTTTCTGGGGGGATGGCTGCTTGATGGACTGCAGGTAGACATGGCCTGAGGCCACTGAACCCCAGGCAGCACCACAGCAGATACAGACAAACTGAGCTAACCCTGTGCCTCAGCTGATAGACCATGCTAAGAGGCTGGGTGTGAAAGCTGCACCATGCTCACATATCTCTGGCCTTGCTGCTGGCTTAACCCTACCAGCTGGAGAATGGAAAGAGCCATCTGTGAGCCACCAGCTAGGGATGCTCCTAGGGATGTGAGCAATAGGAGGGCTCAGCCAGCCAGCAGCCATGTGATGTGTCCATGGTGTCTCAGTAGGATCCTGCTGTCTACGAAGGTGTTGCTGCGCAGGGTCCCCTATGGCAGTATGGCAGCATGGGGACCCTGCTGCACTGGATCCCATTCCACCTAGTGGACAGTGGATCTCCCCCATCCATGTGCCCTCTACTGGGATATGCAGTTCCTGGTTCTCTGCCATCTCTTTGCAGACCTTCCCTGAGAAGTGCAACCAGACAAACTATTGCTTTTCTTTTCCTGTTACTTGCAGCTAATTGGGACTCTGTCTCTCAGACAAACTTCCAGAGTTCAGACCCACTGGAGTTTCATTTGATTTTAAAGCCACTCTCAGTCTCCACACTACGCTTCCCTTCCATGCTGCCTTCCCCTTTCCCCTCCTGAACAGCTCACTCCCCAGAACTCTTACCTCATGCTTTGCTAGCTATGGTGCATGTCAGACAGTGCTTCCAACTGTTTCATGCCCCTTCTCCATCCATAGTTCCTCCTGCCCATCCACGGAGGGTCTGGATAGGCTATTTCTCCCTTTGATTGAAAAACCTCTGTCCCCTGATGTGAGGTGACACAGGATTCTCCACCAGTAGTCATGGGGTTGCTGCACTTTCACGCACTAGAGAATGGAGGACAAAGAGTTTGGTGTGAAGATGCAGTTGGGAAATTCAAGTGAGACATTAACTCCATTCACTCCAGAGCCCACCTGCTTTTCAGAGCTTTAACCACATGAAAGCTTGTAATAACATAAGCAGACCAGCAAAGCTCTATGTGACACTGAGAGGTAATGCTCCTAGGATATCCACTAGTTGGACCTTTGGCAATGAAATTGCCGTTCCTATCATAAATGTTTAGGGGACTATTCTGTGATTCTGTGACTACTGACCCTGGTTCTCCACATTTTGACAAATGGGAAGACCACAGGTAAATAGAGACATGAGCTAAGAGTCAAGTCCAGTAAGGGATAGTATCTTCTGGACAGGTATTCCCCTTACCTCCTCTTAGCTAAGGCTTTCTGGCTACAAGGATTCACAAGGATAGCAACACATATCCTTGCAATACATATTTAGCTTGTTGTGTTTGGGGTTTTTTTATGGCTGTTTTCAGGGTACTTGGAGATTGTGATTGATAGCTGAGCAGGAATTAAGGGATCTTATCAGAAATTTCTCTTAACATCGAGTCTTGCTGGAAGAAACTAAACAGTTTGCTTGATGAAATAAACTCAAAAACTAATGGTGAGATATTCCAGCCCAAAAGAGGGAAGGGGCTCTTTGGATGTGTTGACTCAACTGCATAGGCAAGAAAAAGCAGGAATTAAAGGTTGCTGGTAGATCTTCGTCACCCTGTGTTAGCTTTAGAGACACGAATATCCAAGTACAGTCATTTTGGGGTCCCAGGGATTAAGCCCCAGTTTTCTCTGGCTTTAGCTTACTTTCCCGTAGTGCCTGCTGTGACTGCTGGTCTCAGACAAACATTTTGACAATGCTGCCATGTGCACCACCTCCAGAAGGACAGAAACAGCAGAAGTACAGGTAGCATGTCATGCTGCTCTTCAAACCCTTGCACCCAGCTGACCATCAACTTTAAAGCAATGCAAAAACATGTATTACAGAAAATCAGGCCTTCCCTTTGTTTTGCTAAGTCCATTGAAAATGCCAATTATTATAATTTTTTGTTCAGAAAGACAATTAAAAAAATAAAATTACCTTTTCTTAAAGGCATTTTATTAATTTTGAAATGGTTTTATTAACTTTGAAAGTAAGAAAACTCTTTCCTTTTCTGCTTAAACATTTCCCAAAACTCAACATGTAAAGACATAGCATTTGCATTCTGTTTCACTTTTTTTTTAACCCAGCTACAGCTCTCCAACTGGTAGCCTGGGGGGACAATTCCGTCTGGCCCCAGAAAGATATTCCACCATTATATGACCTTTTAAAATGTATCTGCTATGCAGATCCCAAGTAAATTGCCATAACAGAATCTAGCCCCAGGTTGTTGAGAAATTGTCAAGAAGTCCTGCTTTAGACAAACTTTAAAAATTCTATGAATAAAAATGTCACCATGTTTTTTCCATGGGAACAGAAAGTATTTCATTTGCTGCTCATGTCTCACTGTTGGATTGCTGTAAGCAGCTGGTCCAAATGGAGTGAGTCAGTACAGCAGCATCTCAAAAAAGGACTTTTATTCCTTTCTGTTTGGTTCTCAATTCTCTCCTGCATTTCCAGCTCAGAATGATCTCCTTTGACCACTACTGTCAGGATAGTGTAGGAGCAGACACCAGCGTCTTAGGAAGGAAGCAAACTCAGGCACAGGCCTTTGTCCTGGTTTCTGAAGTCCATGATCCTGCAGAGAACCTAGCATGTGAACATGCTGAAGAAACCAGACTGTGGTCATAAAGCCTCTGACTTTTCCAATTCAGAGGCTGCTGCCTCCTGGCTGAGAAGGAGTAGTAAGGAATGCAAGCTACAGCAAACACTAGTTACATGTATAAATGTGAAAGTGCTTAAAATATGTCTATTGTTTTTCATAGCAACACAGCTTGCTGTAGTATGTAAGACTGGCTTAGAAACAACGCTGACTTCTTGAGTTAAAAAAGTCATTTAAAGCTTCTTTGCCTTCAACTTTTCTTCTGCTGCACACATCCAGGCTAGATCTGAATTCTTCATTTTCTTTTACAATATTTAAACCTTTGCCTTTTATATCCCTCCCTATCCTGACACAGCTGTAACATGGCCAAGTGCAGATCACACTCCTTCACACTCACTAGTACCCTGTCTATCTCCATGTCCTGAGCCTCCATCACACCAACTATATCAGCATCTCCTTGCGTTTGTCCTCAGGCACTGCTTTATATACCCTCTCATATTCAGACTCAGTAAATTCTCCTTCACAGCTATTCACTCTTCTGCCCTTCTCTCTCCTTTTTCACTAGTCCTTCACTCAGTGCCCAGCTGATACCTGTAACCTCTATCCCAGCTGAAACCAGGGCAAGCCAGCATGTTTCTTCCACTGGGCGATGCTGATCATTCCCAGTGAAATGGGAGGACCACAGAAAGGAATCACTGTCTCACTCAGGGAAAAATTAGACTGAAAGACTCCTTGAAGACAGTGACTCCCATTCTCACAGGATGCTGGTTTAGGAGGTCTTGCACACAGGCTTAGTGTGCCACAGCCTGAGCATCAACTTCTGCAGGACCCTGGAGCTGGTCTCTGTGCAAGCCAGAGACTGCACTGGGTCTCTCACTTTCCAATTGCACGTATGTAAGTTATCCTGTGCATAGGTATGCTAAATATCAGAGGATGTGAAATATACGTATGTGCTGGTCTCAATGGCTCTGGTGATAATTCCCCTCCCAGTTATGTAAATAATATAAATGTGACCAATTTGTGTACAAGGCAAAAAAAAAAAAACAAAACAAAAAACAACACAATATTCCAGGAAAATGACACTGTTAAGGCTGCTAAAGCAAGTAGTCAATGTGAGAGGAATGCTCTTCATGCGAGCCAGTCATGGCTAACTCTACCTGTGTTAGAGTGATGCTGCAATACAGTCTTAATTTCAGGAGCACTCCCTGTTGTCACACAAGACACATATTAAGAAGACATTTGAAGACATTAAACTAGTGAAATACAGAGACAGATGTGTTCTAGGAAAATGTTTTAACAGAGAAGAGAGAGAAAAGCGTAGGTTTGGGCAATATTAATTAGGAAGACATGACAGAAATTAGAAAAACGAGGCTATGGATGGAGCAGCTGAGGCCAACTGGTTACCCCAAGGTGTCAAATAGGATGTAGATAAATTAAAGCTGGTGAAATTCCTTTACTGGTGCACTTGGAAATTCATTCCTCCACTTTCTGATAGCAGTGAGCACCTGGATCTGCTGGCTCCTTGCATGCCATCAAGCAGCAGACACTGTCAGGACAGTTCTGCACCATACCCTTACCTTGTCCCCACATGTGCTTCCTTGGCACGTGCCTGTTCCCAATACCCGCTGGTGTGGCGACTTCAGCTTCTCCCCATGGGGAGGCTGTGAAGAACCTCCTTTATGCCCACAGAAACACCACCACAGAGCTGGTTTCTCTCTACTTCAACTCATGGTCTGACAGCTCAGGTGTGAGCAACCACAACTGCTGTATGTTCTCCTTTTCTATGAATTCCAAATGCACTTTCACACTGCAGAGGGATGTCCCACTCCTTTTTGAAGTGCCCCACATTAAAA